ATATACCTTGGCTTTTCCTCTAAAAGTGCTAATACTCTGGGGACATATTCTCTTCAAGGATAAAAATGCCTGCCTTCTAGGAGATTAGACCCCTACTTGTTTTTACATATTACTCCTGAAGACTAAAGAAAGGAAATTCCTATATATTTAAGACCAGAGGTCTTGGCTCTGTTTTCCTTCCAGATAGCCACAGGGAATCTCACACTGAGACTAAAGCGGCCTAGAGTGCTGGTCTGAAATTTAACAAAATGGGGTGGGGGGACCAAGATGGTACACAGACAGATCTATTTTTACAAGTGAATGGAGAAGCTCTTTAGGTACATCAGTTTGTTCAAGAAGGCCACCAACATTTTTGAAAGAAAACGGACTCAGGGAGCACAGGTGATCCCTCAGGCAAGGAGGCTGCGACTTCGGAGAGGCCCTGGCTTAGGGTTCCGCTCCTCCCGGAAAGCGAGGTCCCTGAAGCCCCCTACACTCTGGCTTCGGGACCCCACACCCAACGCCGGGTCTCCAGTTCCACAACTAAGCGCCCTAGTCCAGGGGTCTCCCCCGCTGACTCCACAGCTGCCGGAAGCCGCGGGATCGGGGGAAGGGGGGGAGTAGGTGCGTCTAAGCCGCAGGTGACCCCGCCGCCCAGCAGTGCAGACGCCGCACCTCTGGTCTGCGAACCTCGCTCTCTCTTTTCCCACCGCCGGCGGTCAGCGTCTCGGCTCTGGGAACTGAGCAGTGCTTCGAATCCACCCCGGAACCCTAGGGCCCGCCCTCCCCTCCGCTCCGAGTGCGCCTGACCCGAGAGCTCCTACCTCTCAAGCACTTTCCTCGCCGCGCCTCCCGCGCGTCCTCGGGGGCAGAGGGGTTTCCTCGCGCTCCTGCCGCCGCCGCTGGTTCTGTTCGTCTAATTTAAGCCCAATAGTTTCACCCCACTTTCACGTTCAGCAGGAAGCGTAGCACAGGCTGACGTCTCAGGTCGTTTGGCTGTTAGAAAATATCCAACATCAGCGCGTCCAAGCCATGCTTCCCGGTCTGTCCTGAATTCGTCTGGAGACCAGGCCCCGCGGAAATCCGTGGACGGAAATCCGTGGACCACCCAGGCGCAGGCCGCGCGCACCGCGCCGTTGCTCATCCCTCCCTCCTCCGTTGAGATTCTGCTTGAAGGACAGTTTTGTGTTAGCTTTTACAATGCCTGAAACTTCTTTCATTTGCCTTGTATAGTTTTCCTGTTTAACAGGTGGTGGAGTGCGAGGCTTAACCTAAGACGCGGACGAGGAGGTAAGGGCGGTTTTCACAGAAGGCCGGTGCCTGGAGGGGTTTTGAGATCAACCTCGGAGCCCACGGCCCGCCGGCAGAAAGCGATTCTCTTTGCTGAGAGACTTCAATGCAGTTCTCTCTCGCTCCCTCTCTCTCTCTCCCTCTCTCTCCCTCTCGTTTCCTTTAGAAGTAAAACCTTATAAGTTTGGAGAAGGACGTGCCATTGTCTCCTGCAGATGCTTTTCTTCCTGTCTTGGTGAGGTGCTCACCGCGTTTCCTTCACACCTGAAGTTCAAGCGCTCCGACCCTGAGGAAGGCGCGGGCAGCTCGCTCGCGAGACCCCAAGGCGGTGCTCTGCCTTGTCCTGCTTTGGCTCGAGATGCATCGAGGGTGCGACTGGACGGCGCCATCCTCCCCGGCGCCGGAGGACTGAGTCCCCAAAGAGCTTTGGGTCAGGACATTTCAGGAGATTCCACCCCTCTTCTTTCCTCCCTCGAAGTACGAGTTTTCACCTCCCACGCCGAGCCAGAGGAAGGGATCCGCTGTCTTTCGGTCGCGTCCGGCCCACCGCGGTCCCACGTGGGCAGGACGAGGGGGCGGTGGTCCTTTCTCCGACAGGGGCGGAAGGACAGCGGCGCCCGAGGGAGGGGCCACAAACACACAGGCGCGCTGCGCTGGGCTCCGCAAACCCTACAAGGCGGCCCACGGAGCTTCCCTGCAGCCCCAGCGGAAGGCGCGCGGGGCTCCAGACCCGGCGAGAGGAGCGCGCCCAGGGGCCCCGGCCCTGCGCCTGCCCTGGAGGACGCGCCCGGAAGAGGGACGGAGCCCAGGAGAAAGCGCAACGGCGGCCCAACCCCACGATCCGAGGTTCAAGGTGAGGGAGTCGCGCGTTAAACTGATTTCCCCGCCTTTATCGGGAGACTCGTTTGCCCAAGTTCAGAGTCGCGGAAAGGAGGGATTGTGTAGGAAAAGTCTACATTTGACCGAGACGAAAACAAGAAGTTCTAAGTAATTGGATGTGGGGTCTGAGGAAAACGGTGTGCCAGAGCCATCTCTGGGCCCGAGCAGATGGAAGGCGGGGGCTGGCACGACCTAAGGCGGGGAAAGGGCAGGCGGCGCAGCAGGTGGTAGGGGGGAAGACACGGGATCCAGGTGTGGGCGCGAATGCTTGTTTCAAAGCATTTTCCATCCAGCCGTCCCAGTTTCTGCATTCACCGGGAGTCTTTTATGATGTTGGGGATCCCGAGATGTGACCCCGGGCGCCTCCCGTGCCGTCTCTACTGCTTCGGCCCCGACGACATTCTCTGCACGTGCGGCCCGCCCCGCAAGAACGCGACTCCAGGGCAGATCTCAGGTGCGACTGGGACTCGGGACTTGTCGGACATGGCGGGCCTCGCGGGAGCGTCCACTGTCCCGGAGCGCGCTCGGCCTTTCGTGTCGGGCTCAGTTTTAGGACAAAGCAGGGATGGATCGTTCTTCGGGAAAATTCTGTTTGAGGTTTGTATGTCGGCTACTCGGAACAGGCCGGCAGGAGTAGCACTACTTATTGCAGTATTTCCTGGTGCCTTTTTAAAAAATATGGTCCGCAGCTCCCTGGTAGTCTAGTGGCTAGGATTTGGCGCTTTCACCGCCGGGACACGGGTTCGATTCCCGGTAGGGGAAGTATTAATACTGCCGGATCTCTGCACCCCGCTAGCTTCACTTCATCTCTAGAAGTGTGATGTTCAGATGCAGAAGATTCTCTGCACTGAATTCTTAAACTGGTGAGGTGAGGCCTTGGGGGTCCAAGGCCTCTCCCAGGCTGGAAGAGATGAGCTGTGATGAGCATATTGGCCAGCCACTGGCTTCCTCTCCTCTTCTCTCCTCTCTTCTCCTGGAAACCTATTGTCTCCCACTCAGAGTGCCCATCTAAATTCATTCAGGACTTCAGTAACAATTACTCCTTTAAAAAACAGAAACAAAGCTGAAACATACAAAAATTAGTAACAGCATATATTCTTCACCTAAGCGCACCAGTTAACATCTTCCCATATTTGCTTTCTCACTCTCTCCATATACATGAGTTACTCTACCTTTTGAGAGTAACTAGCAGACATCTCAACTCAAGATCACTGCTTAGGGGACTGTTGCTCCTTTCCTTTGGCGAGTCCCTCAAAACCAGCTTCTGCAGGACCTGTCCTCCAAGGTCATCAGAAGGTTTGTCCTCAGGTGAAGGACCATTATCGCCTGGTTCTCTTCAGACTGTGAAGAAGTTTCAGAAGGAGATTAATTTGGCCTTCCTC